ATGTGGCTCTCGAGCCACAGTTTGCCGACCACGGGGAGTGCTCAGTGACCGTACTTGAGTGCCATCTCACCTGTAGACCGGCAAACCCACCTGGCTCAGTGAGGCAGTAGGAAGCAAACTTCTCCATGGTGCAGAGTGGTGGGCAAAACCGGTGCCTCTGTTCCTCGTTGCCAAAGGTATCGATCATCCAGACACACATGCTGACAGGCACAGCAAGAAGGGAAGACATTCACAGAGATAAAGATGGAAAAGGAAATGGGAGGGGGCAGGGGAGGAGGAAAGGGAACAAAGGCAGGAAGGGAGACAGAAGCAGAAGAGAGAGTGAGAAGGGAAAAGTCACAACTGAGGCAATTCGACTTTAAGGGAAAGGCCTGGATTAGGAACCTATTCCTGGAACTCGTCTCGCCCAGAGACAACCAAGGCTAAGTATTTCTCGCTTGGATGTTCACGCTGCTTCTAATTAGGCTAACGGAGCTCCCTAGAATTCACAGAGCTTCCTGCACTTTCCCAAAGTCCTGGAGGCTTCCTCTGGGGGCTGAGGAACAGGGGAGCGGGGCCCTGATGGGTGTGTGGCCCCTCTCCACCTAGGCCGTGGGGGAAGGCAGGAGCCCCGACTCTCTGAGAACATACAAGATAACAGACGAGAGGCCAGCAGGCAGCAGAAGACCTCCTGCGAAAGAAGCACTTTAACAGTCTGGTTCTGAAAAGATAAACCTTTTCCCTGTTTATCGGAAACTTCCTAGTCAACCCAGGTGAGACCTCGCTGTGCTTTTCAGGTGCGGGCACTCACTTGTGGATGCTTATGTAGGCGGTGGTGCTGGTGCAGCCCGTCGCCAAGGCTTCAAAGATGACAGAGGCATCGAGCCGGGACAGTCCAGACCCACCGACGTCCGTGCGTACGTAGACCCCACCAAAGCCTAGCTGGGCTGCCTTCCGCATCATGTCCACGGGGAACAGTTCCTATGTACGAGAGAGGGGGGGTCAGCAGGGAGTGAGCCACGGGTGGACTTTTCTTTACAGGGCTCACGGAGGGGTTAAGATGGTTGAGTTTGGGGGATTCTCTCCACTTAGTATGCCCATCTGTCATCTCTGCAGGGGTATCAGCTAAAATGCCTTCTGCGAGAACCGGTTTTCCGGCGTTAACGTTTCTTTCATTATCTACAACTGCCTTGGTTTTAGAAGTGGTCTGAATCTTTGCACAGTGTAAACTGAACAAAACAAAACAGGTATCTGCAAGATGAGGAGGGTGCCTCGAGGAAAGGAATCACGTCGTTACCAGGACTCACACGCACAGGTGGGGATTAAACACCTAACGCTTAGGACTACAAGCCGAGGAAGAGAAGGCAATTGTTGGAACATCGGGCCACAAGGAAAACTCCTACCTTCTGGTCCCACTCTGCCATATGGGGAGCCATCTCCCGGGCTGCAAAGTCAAAGGCCACTTTCTGATATCCTTTCTGTTCTTCATTTAGTCCGATGGAAGCTGTGG